CCACCCAGCTCACCACAAATGAGGGAAATGGACAGGCATTTGTTTTTACTTGCCTTAAGGTAAGCATTAAACATTTCTCAAGATGGGGGGGGGCACTTAAGGAGGAGCCCTAATAAAGCCCATTCCTGCTCCCAATAAAGCCGTCCCTTCCCGACCCCATAGAGGCCACAAGCTGAGGACGGAGACACCGGCCCTGAGACAGATGCTGTATGTGCGCCGCTTTACAGACGGGAGAACGGGGGCCACCAGAGGTAAAATGATCACCCAAGGCCCTATGGTCAGAGAGGGGTGCAACTGAGTTTTGAATCCAGGCTCCCAAACTCCAGAGCCCCCTAACCACCGAGTGACACCTCCCCTCTCAACATAACGTCATTTCAACTTCACGGCAACAGGTGCTATGGGAGTAGATTGCTACTAATTCCATTCTAAGGTTGAAGGGGGGTGTCAGATGGGCTGACGTGCCTAAGGACACACGGCTAAGGAGTGGGAAAGGTGACAACTGACCCCTTCTGCTGCCAGAGCTTGTCCACATAAGCGCCAGTCTTGGTGACCAAGAGAGAAGGGTCCTTGCACATAGAAGAAACCAAGGCACAGCTAAGGGTGGCAGCAGGAGGAAGCACGCGTGACTGGTGGCTCAAGCGGGGGGCCCAGGCAGAGGGAGCCCCACAGCCGTCAGGGTGGGGTGGGAGAGCCCTGGGCCCCGCTCCGAGAACCACATTATGACTTTCTAAGTGGGCGCTCTGCTGACAGCTTAACGGCCAGATCCTCTCAGCCCCGGGCTTCATATTTACGAGCTGAAGGCTCCGGACGGGGAGGCTCAGGAACTCGGCCCACACCACCCAATCCTCAGCCCTCTGGCTCCGGGGCCAGGAAGCCATAAAAAATGATCTTGCATGGCTTCCCTTCCCCCAAATGGTTTTAGGGGGCTGGGGGAGGGGATGGCGAGTGGAGCTTGGGAGCAGGGAAGATGTAGGGCCTTTTCCAAAGCCTGCACGGGCAAAAAGACTCATGGAGGGAAATGGCTGATCCCCAGCCTCCTGACAGACCGCCACCCAGGCTGGGGTTCTACCATGGAGCCAGGTCCTAGGCCCAGGTGATGGGGAGTCACCCCTCATTTGCTGGTTGAAGCCAGGAGGCCCTGCCAGCCCTGGCCATCTCTGAGACCAGTCCCCAGAGCTGGGGGAGAGGCTCTAGGAGCCCTTGAGCACCCTCCCTCTTCTGTCCCTAAGTGTCCTCAGCCCCTGTCTGGCCTGGGAAGGGCCAGCGTCTCCCACAGGATGTGGCTGTCTGGCTGGCTGTAGCCGCTACCACATCCCCTCTGGGCACCATCCAGGCCCAATGCTGAGGAACGCTGACCACGGAAGCGACCCCACCCTCTGGCCCACTCCGTCCACATACCCCTCTTCCCACTAAAGTGGGTCAGTCCACCCAGAGATATTAGCCTTCAGCTCTCTGCTAAGCTGAGGGCTCAGGCTAGAGTGAGGGCTTAGTAAATGGCCGTCAGGCCCCCAGATGCGTGCAGGGGGTGGGAGGGGGGGTCTGGCCAGCAGGGCCTACTGGTGGCTACAGGCCTCCTGGGCGCCACCCCCTCCTGTCTCTCTCTGTGAGCTGGGCCCTCTCCCTGGTGGCCCCCCAGTGAGGGGCTGTCTGCAGATAATCAGGGAACAGATTCGGAAAGAAGGAGGAAAAAAAGCACTCAGGCGCCAGACAGGATCCTTATCTTCTGGGGCGGGATGTCAGAGGCAGCAGCAACAGGGCAGGAGTCCTGCAAGGAGGCCCCCGGCATTTGCTTTGCGGCAGCCAGAGGGGAGGAGGGGACCTGCCCTGGGTGCTGGGGAGGAGGGGGATAGGGTGGTCTGTTCTGGGCCTGCAGAGCCTGAGGACCAACGGAATCTGGCCCTGCCCCGGAGGGGGTCTAGATACCAAGGCTCCAGGCCAGTTCAGGCTGGCCCTGGGACCTTCAGGAGACAACAGGAGAGGAAGGCTGAGCTGAACTCCTCCCTCAGGTTCCCAGCCAGACCTGAGCTGACTGGGCCGTGGCCTTAGCCCTCAGACCCGGGCCGAGTTACCTGACTAGCTGTGCTTTGGTGCTCTCACCTGTAGGATGGGGGCTAAAACCACCACTGAACTACTGGAACCCTCCATGGAGACATGGTCCGTTAAGACTAAAAAGGGCCACGGAAAGGGGGGCTGTGTTCTGCCTGGTGCTGAGAGCCTTCTATGCCAGGAGGCTACCGCTCGCCTCTCACACAGCTTGGGGGCCTGCAAGGCCACAGAGGGGCTCTGCTTCTTGGGACTGGCCCCTACACTCTCAGTGAAACCCCCATGACGTGACAGTGGTCCCTTTCACGAAGCGGAAAAGTTTTCTGATGGGGCATTGTCTTCCCAGGGTGGTCCATAAACCAAGAATAGCACCAAGGAGCCTCGTTCCCCCAGGCTTGGACTTCTCCTCTGGGGCTAGACTGAATCCCAAGGATGACGGGTCATCTGTGGGGCTCCAACAAAGGCCTTGGGAGGAGAGCACTGTCAGTGGGGGTCAAGGGCACAGGCCCTAGATGTTCATTCAAATCTAGCGGCTCTGCCACTTTCTAGCTGTGTGACCCTGGGAAAGTGTTCCTCACCCCCTACATGCTCACCTGGGGCCTCAATTTCCTTGTCTATGAAAAGAGAGAGAGCTCTGACAGTCTGTGATTTTATGTTTGACCTGACAGTTGGGTCTCTGCTCCTATAAATGCTGAGCTGTAACGCAAAGAGACAGGAAATACACCCTCATATACACATCAAAGCACTATCACTAAGTGTGACCAATGGATCCCGGAGCATCCTGGGGCCACCTATGCATCCCGGGCCCTAATTTCCTGCTAGCCTCAGCCAGGAGCAATCAGAGTAGAAGACTTCTTGCTGGAGTTGGCTAGTTCATCTATCTCCCAGGGAGGGGGCTGGCAATGCTAGGGAGGATCCCACAAAGAAGGAAAGACTTCTGGCTGGCACTGGGGATTAAAAGCACACCCCCCAGCCCCACCCCTAGCTGCATGAGGGTCTGGCTGGTGTGAGCTCCAGCTGTCATCCGCAGAGCCATGAACTAAGGCCAGTCTGGGACAGTGCCTGCCTCTGGTGCTGGAGTGAGTGATGGACAGTGGACGGGAGGGGGAGGGGAGACAGTGCGAGGAGGAGGCACAAAGCCATGGCCAGCGGGAGGGGTGAAGGTGAGCGCTGGCTGGAGCCCCAGCATTTTCCGGGCTGTTATTCTGGGCAACTTTTTATTTATTCAGAGGCTGGGGATGCGGCTTAGCATTTGTCGGCTCAATATTTATTACATGCACTTCGGCCTTGTACCACGGATCCCGTGTCGGGGCCACCGTAAGACCCTCCTCCCCAGCTTCTCAATGCTAGGGTGCACTCGGAAACCTACAAGGGGCAGCTAAGAGGTAGCACCTTCCCGAAAGACCACCTAATCCAACTCTTTTGGTTTATCTTTGGGGAAACTGAGGCCCCAAGAGGGAAGCAGCCTTGCTCAAGGTCATCACAGGCACTCGGATACTCCGTCTCTGATCTCTCGGCTTTCAGGTCACCAGCACAAATACCGATGGAGTAAAAATACTGCAGGGCACACAGAGATGTGACGGTGATCTGCCCTCCAGTCCCCCACCAGGTATAGGCGGAGCCAAGAGAAATTTCGGCGCAAGGTCGCTGCTCTGCCATGGGAGCCTTTACGAGGTACTCAGCGCTCCCGAGCCTCAGTTTCTTCCTCGGCACAAGCGACGTAATCACACCCACCTCACAGAGTGGCTGGGGGGAGTGCAGGACGACACCTTGGAACCTGTAGAGTCCTGGACAACTGGAACTGGTTTATTGATGTTGATGCCATCAAAAAGAAAGAACAGAGGCAGGACACCGCGGGGGAGGAGCCGCATCTGTCCATGGCCACCGAATCCCTCCCTTATCACAGCCTCCAAGGCGGGGCAGGAGGCAACTAACAGGTCAACAGCAACAGCAACTGACAACATGTAAATGACCAGGAGCAGCACAGTGGAGGGCCCCCCCCCACCCCCCTGCTGGCAGAGCTGCTGGTGACCTCACACTCCCACCCAGCTCCGAGCCTTCCAGCAGCCATGAGGTCAGCCGGCAGAGCGGGGGCACCTCCCCCACCCGCCACGCGCTGAGCCCAGAGGAGCATGGCACTACCAGGGCCGGGGCAGGACGCCAGCTAGGATTCCACGGGTCTCTCCTTCCTCCCGCACGCCCCCTGTAGCCACTTCTCCTCCAGCGCCCCCCTCTTCCCCGCCCCCCCCCCACTACGTCTCAGTGCACTTCCCCACGAGCACAAGATTGCTGCTTCTCATATAACACATAAGCTGTGGTGTGAACTTCTGGTAAATGAAGATCTTATTTAAAGCTGTGTGCTACCAAGGGAGGGGAAGAGACAGGTTCCAACACAGCTCAGCCCTCTTGCCAGGAAAAGGAGGTGCTGGGCTGTGCACAGAGCCACCAGTGCTCCTGGGGAGTCGCTGGAGAAGGGCCACGGGGCCCTGGGCACACCCCTGCCTGCCTGCCTGCCTGTGAGGGTCAAACAGGGCATCGCTTTCTTTATCTGTGCAGGAGGGTAGGGCAAGGAGGTTCCCCCCCACTGGAGGTTTGGGTTTACCATGCGGGACACAGAGTGGTTTAAACTTGCAGGGCTTTCCAAGAATGACAGAACTTTGGACCAGAAAGGCCTTGGAGAGGATTGGATCCTGGGCCCTCTACCTTAGCAGCAAAACAGGATCACCTGGGTGCTTTTAAGATTCCCAGTGCCCAGGGCAGACCCTAAGACCAATTAAGTCAGAATCTCAGGGTGGGGGGACCCAGGCAGAGGTGATCCCATCATACCACCGAGCAGGTCTCTTCTCAACAAGGGGTGTGCGTCTGAAACGTCAAAATTCGTTTGCCCAGCCTCCCTGAGTACGAACTGCCAGGGGTGAAGGCCAGACATGTGAATTTTGAAAAAAAACTCTAGGAGATTCACACACACGACCCTGCGTATTCATTCACCGAGCCCCTGTTCACCAAGGGCCCGCTCTGTGCCAGGCACTGTTCCAGGCCTGCGGGTATATTACCGGGTGAGGGTGACATATGTGGCCTGCCTGCGTGGACTTTACATGCTGGAGGGTACAGATAATAAACCAGCTAGCATGGGAGTCCGTGCTCGTTTGATCATCCCAGGTGGCAGTAGGTGCTAGAAGAAAAGTAAAAGGGGCAGGGGATCAGGGAAGGGCTCTCTCTCTGAGGAAGGGACAGCGGGGCTAAGACCAGGATGACAGGGAGGAGCCAGCCGTGCCGAGTTCAGTGGGTTGAGGGGGGCACTCTGTGTGGAGGCATGCCTACAGACATGGGGACCACGCACCCCTGCAGCTACAGGGCCGAATCTCTCATCAGCCCCTCTGTTGACAGGGTCCTGGCTAGACAGGATGTGCTGGGAAAGAGCCAGTCAGTGTCACAACTGCCCTCTTGGGACCTCAGGAAATTCTACAGGCTGCTGGGCTAAGGGGGGGGGGGGGGTTAGAAAATGTGCAGCTGAAAGCTTTCAAGGGCCTCAGAGTTCACAGGTTCAAACCCCTCACTTAACAAACGGGGAAACCGAGGCTTAGCAAGAGGCAGTGGTGTGCTCTGATGTGGCATCTCAGCTCCCAAGAGGGTGACGTGGGACAGTGACTCCACTGTGGAGCGCGCCTGCCTGCTGCGGTCAAGCTTACTGTCCTCCCCTCCCCCCAGGTGCTGTTTGCTGCTCTTCATAGAAGCAACCCGTGTGTCCCAGCCATGGCCGAGACCCGTGACACACCCGGGGAGCTTCTTCCCACACCAGGAAGCCCATCGAAGGCCAGACAGAATGGTGCCAGAGAAGGCCATGGAATTCGGAGTCTAGTGGGATCCGGAATTTCCCTTCGCAAGCTGTTTCCAGCTGTTCACCCGTGGTGAGCATCCATGGGAAGGGTGGGACATATTCCGGGGAGGGGACAGGTGGCCCAGGTACCCAGAGTCAGAGGCCTGATGTGGCAGGGAGGGCAAAATGGGCAGAGAGAAGGCGGCTGGCTGTCTCTGCAACATTTCTTCCCAGAAGCAAGCTAGCTCTCCAGGTCACTCTGCACAGACCGCTGAAAGCGGCCACTGGCTCAATCTTCCTGGAGCTTGATTTCCTTCTTTGGATGTGGTGTAGCCAGGAGGGGTAGAGGCTGGTGGAGGTGGGGGGCGCTGCCTATTCTGGGACCACCAGCTTTCCCAGGCCCAGAACAGGTAAACACCCTTAGCCTCTCAGACCAGTCAGACCTAAAGCCCCAACAGCCCCTCTCAACTCCTGCTGAGCTCCCTGGAGGTAATACCTGCAGGTACAACAGGGTGTCCTAGAAAGGCAATCTAGAATAGTCTCAAATGATTCTTTTCTTAACCTTTCTCAGCTGTGCAAGGGCAGAGAGGGCCTGGTAAGGGTGAAAAATCAGCCAGCCACAAAGCAACACCCAATAACTCGGGCAAGCCATCCCTCTCTCTCTCTCTCTCTGCCTCAGTTCCCCCACCTGTAAGAGGGAAGTGAAAACACTCACCCTGAGGACCTCCTGGGCTGTGAAGAAGCTCAGATTTCCACCGAAGGTGCTCTTTGCTCGAAGTGCTCCACGCCTGTGAGCAATAATGGGCACCACCTTGGCACGTGGTGGGCGGGAGAGCCAGAAACGGGCCCTCACGGGCCCCTTCGCGAGGTCTGCCGGGCTGTGGTTTCTGCGAAGCTCTGAAGGCTGGCCCTCCCCTACAAGCACTAGGGTTCCCTAGGAGAAGCCTTGGAAATCAAGTCCAGGGCAGTGAGGTGGACAGGCTCAAGCTCCTGGGAACTTGTTCAGCCAGCTCTTTTCAGCAGAGATCCGCAACCCCCTCCCCCCCACCGCCAGGGGCTTGGGCGAGCACTCTGGGCCAGTGCGCTGTGCTGGAGAGGTGGGGGAGTTACTTCAGGCTTCCAGCGGCCCCTCTCCCTGGAGAGGCCAGACCCTGAGCTGGCCAGGCCCTTCCCTCTGCAAACTGCACAGGGCTCAGGGCGGAGGCAGAGGAGGACGCTGTCAAGGGTGTAATAAACGACTTATTGACTGGTAAGCAGAGTTCTCAGGGCTCGGAGCATGACCTTCCGGCAATTATGCCCTCCACTGCCTGCCCGAGGCCCCCTCCCTCTCTGTGGAGGCTTAGGCCTGCCTCGGCGCCTTCCCCTCAGACTATGCCCGACCTGCAGGGGCCCGAGGCATGCAGACAAGGTGCCCCCGGGGCTGCCAGTGTTCCTCCTCATGTACCCACGTGAGCATGCACCCTCTTGGACCAACCCTTAAAATGGCACAGGCTGGAGAGACAGGTTGGCGTGCTGGCCGGTAAAGGCCGGTGAGAAGAGCCCAGTTCTGCACATCAGCTCTTTACTGAGACCATTGTCACCCCGGTGGGGCTTCTGCCTTTGGCAAAGCGGCTCCGGTGCTCCCAAGCGTCACCACGCAATCACTCCAGACATCATCACTGCGCGGCCAGCTCTCATGGGGACATCCAGGGATGTTCACAGGGGGAAGACCTGCTCCCAGCCCGGGCAGTGGATGCAGAGTGGGTTCCTGGAAGGAACACGGAATGTGGAGTCCAGACTAGGGGAACACCCAGACTAGGCTCTGACATAATTGCTGGAAGACTGGGGTGGGTCATGTCACTTCCCTGAGCCCCGGTTTGGTCCTCTAAGACCTTCTTCGCAGAGTCATTAAAAGGACGAAATGAGACAGCATGTGCAAACTGGCTGATGGGGGCAAGAGAACAGACCCAGAGCGGGAGGGAGGCCGGGGCCGCAGAGGGCCTACACTACACCTGGCACACAGATGGAGTGCGTGCGGGTGGGACCCTCACTAATCAAGGTGAAAGCCAACTAAGCAGCCACCTCAGCATGTTCTGCGGCTCTGCATAGAATGGAGGGGTGTGTGTGTGTGTGTGTGTGTGTGTGTGTGTGTGCATGCGTGTGTGTGGCAAGGGACTGGAAAGGGAAGATCCAAGGCTTATCTGAGGCCCAAAGATCAACCTGCGGACCCCGGGGGTAAATAATAAATAACGTGCAGAACCCTTTGCACCATGAACTGTGATGACCCCACCTCCTCTCTGCGAGGCAAGCGGTGTGGGATTCATTAGCCCCCATTTTACAGAAGGGGAAATCAAGTCCGAGGGAGGGGGCCGACGGGATGCGCTCAGGACCACAGGAAGCCAGGGCAGGGACAGCACCTGTGGGTCCTGCCCTCTCCATCTTCCCTGGGAGCAGCACGGGAAGCTGTCCCCCCACGTGGCGCTCACTGCTTGGACCTACGAGCACGCATGAGGAAGCGGAAAGTATTCAAATGGCCGTGAAAACACAATGAGAAGGCAGGTGCGGATCTGGCCTGGTCTCGCACCCACTTCTTTCTTACGTGAAAGGTAGCATCCTATAGATACTATCTTGTGCTTCCTTTCCTTCTCCATACGTCCGGGAAGTCACACCCTATCAGTCCCCAAAGAATGCTATCATTTTTCATAGCTGCCTCGGTGCCCAGCATGTGCTTGTCCCGTAGCTGACTCAAGGCCTCCACCAGGGCACTCCGGTGATTTCCAATATTTTGCAATTACAAACAACATGCGTATGTATTTTTCTATTGATAAAGGTGTATCTGAAGGGAAGATTTCTATTTTTTTTTAAGTTTATTTATTTTGAGAGAGAGAGAGAGAGAGAGAGAGAGAGACAGAGAGAGACGGAGAGAGAGAGAAGGGAGGGAGGGGAAGAGAATCCCACGCAGGATCCACAGTCAGTGCAGAGCCCGATGTGGAGTCTGAACTCACAACCGCAAGATCATGACCTGAGCCGAAATCAAGAGTCAGATGCTCAACCGACTGAGCCGTCCAGGTACCCTGAAGGGGAAGATTTCTAGAAGGTGTTTGGGCCAAAAAATATAGGATGCATGTGCGGTTGTTAAATATCATCAGATTACGTACCCGAAGGCTTGCACCAATGAGCAGTTCCAGGCAGGAACATGCGCCAATGTGATTCCAACACAAGGTGTGGTCATAACTTTTAATGTTTTCCAGTCTTACAAAGCGGAAAGTGGGATCTCAGGGTTGCGTTTTAAAACAGTCTGCGTTTTTCTTTTTAATTTTTTTTTTTAACGTTTATTTATTTTTGAGACAGAGAGAGACAGAGCATGAACAGGGGAGGGGCAGAGAGAGAGGGAGACACAGAATCTGAAACAGGCTCCAGGCTCCGAGCTGTCAGCACAGAGCCCGACGCGGGGCTCAAACTCACAGACTGTGAGATCATGACCTGAGCTGAAGTCGGACGCTTAACCGACCGAGCCACCCAGGCGCCCCTAGTCTGCGTTTTTCTAACTATGAGTTTTAATGTTTTCATGTGTTTAAGGGTCATTGTTTTATTATCTTATCTTGTGAATTATCTATTCATGTCTTCCCCCCCCCCCCCCCCCGCCTTTATCTTTTTATCAGGTTTTTGGGCCTTTGTTCCTCAATATTTTAGAGTGCTTTCTGTACTGGGATATTAGGGGTTTTTTTGTCTGAGGTATCCGTTACAAACATTTCCTCCTGGTTGGTCACATATTTTGTCTTTCGACTAGTTTTGGGTGCTTTATTGTCAATTTTTTTTCTTTAATATTTATATGATAAACGTGATCGTTCTTTTATTTTGTTGTCTCTAGATCCTGAATCCTAGTTAGAATGCCTTTCCTACCCCAGTGTTAAAGAGGAATTCACCCTCTCTTTTGTATAGTATCACTCTTTACATCTGGATCTCTACTCCATTTGGAGTTTTGTTTTGTTTTGTTTTTCTCTATGGTACGAAATGCGGATCAAAGTTTACCTTTTTCCAAATGACTACCCAGTTGTCCCATCACTAGTTATTTCAAAGTCTGGCCTTGTCCCAGTAGGCCGTCACACGATCTTTGTCGTATGCTGGATTTCTCTACGCACTGGGTCTCATTCTGGACTTTTCTATTATGTTTGACTGGCCTGACACTTCACACATTTGTGCCACAGCTTTAATTATGCAGGTGCTCCAGTATGGTTTTAACATCTGGTAGGGATAGTTTTACTTCATTTTTACCCATTTTTATGCCTCTAGGTGATTTCTCATTTAATCACATTGGCTAATGCTTCTAGCACAGTGTTGAATAGAAGAGATAATGGGTGCCCGCGCTTCACTAGTGATCTCAGTGGAAATGCCTTTAGTGTTTTCCCATTAGAGAAGATACTGGCTTTAGGACTAGGGTATGTATCTATTTTATCATGCAAAAAAGAATCCCTTAAGTTGCTGGTTTCTTGAGTGTTTATATGATGAATGGGTGGTGAATTCTGACCAACGCTTTTCAGCATTTATAGAGCTAATCATATGATTTTGTTTCCTTAGATTCATAAAGATGGTATACGGTATTAATTTGGCATATGTTATTAATATTAATGGATTTTGAACCAACCTTGCATTCCTAGAATGGACCAGAGTTGGTCATTCTGTATTATTGTCTTAGGAAGAAAAAAAGAGAGAGAATGGAAATGGAAACATCTGATTCAGTCCTCAAGAGAGCTATGTGAAGCAGGCTTTATCATTCTCATTTCACAGATGAGGAAACAAAGACCAACAATGTCGAAGAAACCTGGCCGATATCACACAGCTAGCAAATAAGAAAGACAGGACTGGATCTTGGGTCTTGGAAATAAGTGGATAGCATTATGTGGCTGTTACTTAGATATATTAAAAACGCTCACTACACGACAAAATGTGGGAAGGGGAACGTCTCTGTAGCAACTGCGGGAGGGTCTGCCCTTGCCTCCCGGAAGCGTGAGCTGCCCCCCTGGCCCCGCCCCATCAGAGCTCAGCAGAGGAACGAGCAAGGGGCTGGTGAGCTGCGGGCCAGGTGCCGTCAGCAAACAGCCTGCCGGAGGCCCCCGAGGTCTGCGAGGCCAGGCAGCAAGCAGCCCTCGAGGCCCGCCACGTCCCCACCCAACCTCGGTCTTGCTCTGACCCTGCATTCATGTCTCGGGCACCGGATGGTGTGGGAGCAACTCAGAGAACGAACACCGGGCTGGGGAGGTGAGGGCTGCCAGGGAATACAGTGCAGAGAAGAAAACCCTAGTCCTCTACTCCCCGCTGGTCCTGCCTGCCCCGTTTTCTAAGAACGGGCAGCCAGCCGAGGGATTATGTAAGTTCTGGTGGGCATGGCAGATGGTGTGCTGGCTCAGACACATCAAAGCCGGCCCTGACGCTAACCTTCCCTGACGTGGCACCCCGGCCTCCTCTGCTCTGGGGTGTGGAGCACGCAGAAGGATGGGAAGTGACCCAAACGCTGTCATCTAGCTCAATAGCCATGGCCAGCCGGGTTAGGGGAAAGGCCAGGGCCTACCTATCAGCGGGAGGGTCCAGCCAGGGAAGTGAAATAGTGGGCCCTTCCAGCCCCATAGCAAGCAGCTCTCGGATGAACCGCACGGTGTCTGGGGCAACAGACCCTGCTCTGCCCACCTCCTTCCATCGCAGATCGGCTCCGGAGGTTTGGAGAACGGTTTGTCTAACTCCGGGGGGGGGGGGGGGGGG